CACTATCTTCTCATGCTGCCTTCTGAAATACAATAATATAACGATATAAATAGACACAACAGTCATCTCCAGTCAATCTGTCATTATCTTCTCATACTGTCTCCTGAAATACAATATTATAAAAAAATAAATAGACACAACTGTCATCTCCAGTCAATCTGTCATTATCTTCTCATGCTGTCTCCTGAAATACAATAATATAACAATATACATAGACACAACAGTCATCTCCAGTCAATCTCTCATTATCTTCTCATGCTGTCTCCTGAAATACAATAGTATACCAATGTAAATAGACACAACAGTCATCTCCAGTCAATCTGTCATTATATTCTCATGCTGTCTCCTGAAATACAATACTATAACAATATAAATAGACACAACAGACATCCCCAGTCAATCTGTCGTTATCTTCTCATGCTGTCTCCTGAAATACAATAGTATACCAATATAAATAGACTGAATAATAGACTAAATAAATATTTAATATAAATCGAAATAACTTATATGCTTCTTTAACATAACCGCGTATTGAATGAGTAATATAGTATGGACTGTTGATTTTCAAATTACAAGGAAAAATTTACTTTTGAAATATTGATATTCACGCTTTACCCCCCCCCCCCCCCCACCCCCCTTCCCTCTTTCTTAATAATTACCTTACAATAGGGCTGATTCTCAGAGTAATAGTTGGCATTTGTCTATCTGTCAAAAGAAATAAAATCTCTCCCTCTCGATCCTTATCTCTCTCTCTCTTTCTCTCTCTCTCTCCTTATCGGTCGCCATTCGTACGCTTTTTTCCGTTTACCTACCAAGTGTCCCGGTAGCTGGTCCTCCAAGAGAAAGTCAGTATTTGTTGGTTTCGTCAGCAACAGAGAACTGGTTGTATAATTCATAGAGCCTTGTCCCTTTGGTCAGTGTGATGGAGACGTAGGGGGAGGAGTTCCTTCCCTTGGTAAGTTGATGTATTACGTCATTTCCTTTAATGTTATTGTCGTGTTATATATAAAGAATTAATAAAACAAAATATGTTTATTTTAGGATTGTTGTCATATAAATCACCATACGATTTAAAGGTATGCAGAAATTTCATTTCAGCAATAAACTTACATGTTTTGAAATCAAAGTAGGGAAATCGTTACATAACGGGTATTGTATTTTACATGAATTGCTATTAACTTCACTTTAACTGATAAAAAATAAAATGCTAATAAAAACTGTTAATAATCAGAATAACTGTCATTCCAAACACAACATAAAATATCATATAGTTATGGAATGGGTTCAATGTAAATAGCAAATTCATGGTTGCCCGAGGGAGGGAAATATTTCTGCATCTGGAACCCTAATTCTTTAGGGTGTCATAAATTTGCTATATCCTCTGTGGCCATTCTATAACTGTATATAATTTACCTATCCAGTAGGAGTCATTGGCGTTACCAAACCCAGTTTTGTAGTCGGACCACGTTCTGTCGAAACTCACTGAACCACTGACCCGTTTTTGGATAGCCTAAGGATTTATGAATTATGTGGAGTAAATTTATGAAAGTTGTGAAGTCTTTGTTTGCTATGTTGTACTGTGAAGAATGTTTCAAATACTTTATTCATTAAAAAGTCATTCAAATTTAGCATATTCTCTTTATTAAATTACATGCAAATTTTAGAGTGAGCTCAAATTTAAAAGTTGACCTTTCTTTTTTTTTTTTAAAGGAATTCGATTTCACTGTTAATTTTCAAAATAATATTATCCAGAGTACATGTAGAAATGATTGCTTCTTAGGGGCAAAAATAACAGTTCTGAGTAGGGCCCGTATAGCCAGTCCGTCCGGAGAAGACAGGCAAGATATTCTTTGTACTTTATCTGATGATTTTCTTTTTTTTTTAAATTATCCATCATATAAAAATTTACTTTAATCATTCAATTCTCAACAATTATTTAAGTTTCGCCTGTACATTCATGATACTCTATACATGTTTTATTCTACTTTGTGGTGAAAAATATTTACTGACACAATGTTATTAACTTCTTGTAAGTTAGGCTAAAAAACATTCAATGTTCACTTTGTGTTAGTTTGTTTCAGAATAAAGATTTAACATTAGTTTTTCAGTGTTTCAAAATTCATAAATTATATAGTACCTGAAATTGATGTGTGTGTGAGAGAGAGAGAGAGAGAGAGAGAGAGAGAGAGAGAGAGAGAGAGAGAGAGAGAGAGAGGTCATACTGTCCACTCTCCTCCTTCAGTCACCATGTCACAATACACGCTGACCCTGTTCTTGATACCAAAGGGATTTATTACATATATGCCAGACTGTGTGTGTCCAAGTAGATAGTGATCTCTACAATCCCTCGTTAGATTTAAACCTGAAAGAGAATATAAATTTAAATTGTTTATAAACAAGGGAAAGAGAGAGAGAGAGAGAGAGAGAGAGAGAGAGAGAGAGAGAGAGAGAGAGAGAGAGAGAGAGAGAGAGAGAGAGAGAGAGAGAGAGAGAGAGAGAGAGAAATAGACAGCATTACCTTCATCTAATGTTTGCTCTTTCGTCCTATTAAGATATCGATAGATATCGGATATATTTTCATTAAGAAATTTAAGCTTTTGGTCAAGTTCCTGAAATCTACTTTGACAATTTTCTAAAAGTTTCCTGTCCTCCTGTCTTTGAGTACACAGGGAAAAGTGGCTCGCATGATTTTCATGCGATTGCCTTTTCGCATGAATTTCGTGCGAAAATCATATAAAAACCATGCGAAAAGTACAACATGCGAATTTCATGCGAATGTCCTTATACAATATTTATGCGAAATTCATGCGATTTTCATGTGACTAAAAGTTCGCATGATATTCATGCGAATACCAAATTATCAGTTTTTCATGTAAAAATCATGCTAAATTCGCATAAATATCATGTGATATTCATATACAAGAGAAAAAGTAATGAACAAAGAAATTGAACAATATTTATTCAGGTTTTTTTGCCACATTCAGTGATAAAAATTGCAAGTCTCTGATATCATATTGCTTGGATGTTCCTAGGTAATCCATTGACTTTAATGATAGCTGTGTTTACAGGCAGTTTTTCAGTACGTCTTTTTCAGTCTTGTGTCCTGACAAGCGTTTCCTACAAAGAAATTTTGATTATTATAAAATACTATTACCCATACTAATATTTCAATTGTTTAGGTCAGAGGGACCAGTTCCTAAATCAGATGACATTAAATACAATGAATTCAATTATATCACTTGAAAAGTCCAATTAGTCCATGTTTTGCCAACTTGTATTACTGAGTATGTTAAATGGTATATATGTTTAGAGCGAAACAAAAGACCATGTGTTAAGCACATTCATAACTGCATAATAGACTTTAACACATACAGTGTCTTATTGACCTACTTTATAATCCTGATATCAGGCTGCTATTGAACCAAATGAGATAAAATGTTTCATTTTAATTGTGATATTCCTATTGGATGACAATAAACATGTCATTGATGAATTTCTACATATGTGTCAGAACAAAACACACAGTCTGTGTATTTGTTAAGAGACTTGTAATGACAGTTAGTTAAAATAAAAATTAATTTTAAATTACTTACTCAAAATTTAGTAAACCTTCAAATAGATGTCACTAAGCATAAAAAGACCATTCGATTCACCTGGCTGCGTTACGTAGAACCTGAAATGAGAACGAATTCCGAATTTACTCTGAAATATTTCGTTGCAAGTTGAATTATCAATAAAAATGTGCATTATAAACACAAAATATGATAAACAATTAACAAAGCATACATATTTACCATTGTTTTAAGGAATTAGATCACAATTATCCAGAAGGAAAGTCTGGAATAAACCATAGAAGGGAGCTCTCGCTGACTCGGTTTTTTTTTTTCTGCAACAGGAAGTGCAAATGGAACCTGGCTATTCAGTTTCGTATTCATCCAAGAATCAGGAAATACCTTAATTTCTATAATTTTCGTCGTTCAAATTTTTATCTTGAAAATGTATCTCCGTTTCAAAGACGAACGTTGATGACTAAGTGATATAAATTTACTTTATGGAACCAAAGCTAGTTTTTTTATGGAATGCCGTACGTCACAAATTACGTCATCTTGCGGCTTAGAAAGCAGAAAGAAAGACAGAGCAGAATGTTTTCAACTCCATATTTTCTGTAAGTTTGTAAGATTCTCATCTTTTTTTAATACCAGATAGATGTAATAACTTTATTTGGGAATATCTGTTGACTTAATCATAGGCGCTTGGTTACAGGATGGTGTGTTTACTTTTGTGTATCTCTTGTGAAAGATAGACGACTTTCACATTTACAAAAGTTATTCCCCTTTGCGGGGTCAATCCGGGGTCAACTGGCGTAAGATGCTGTTTTCCCTCTATAACTTTACCAACTTTATGGGTCAGTACCCCAGAAATAAAATCTATACGAATATGCTCATTATGTTTTTCATGTTGCCCCATACTCTGGCAATACAGGTACAGATCGAAATTGTCATATATCCTAGTGAACCCATAAATCGTCCCCTTACGACATTTGACGTCGTAGTAACAACGAGCGCGTGCAAATTGATAAACAAACGTCAGTGCTAGTTATAGAATGGAATTGCTGATTAAATGTTAAAAATTATTTTTTCTTACTACTCTTCACAAAATTTTTAGAACTCTTCTACAAAATCAAACTTTTACACTTAAAAATATCACCCATACCCTATTTTCGTCCTTCAGATGTAAAACGGCCGCAGATGATTGGTCTATTTGTTTTCCCGTGATTTGTGATTAAAAAAGGATTGGAAAATCATTAAAATAAAAATTGTAAATTTTAATTGTTAATTTTGAATTTTTATTATCAATTTAAGAACATTAAATTGCTTTCGCTATTACCGACTCCGTTTTCTTTAACGAAATAAAAAAAAAACACGAACGTGCTTTCAGATTAACATTGTCAATGATGTCATGTTTGCTCATCAAATTACCTGATATGCAAATTATACAATGTTTTATTTTAGATTTTCCAAAATTCATTGACCTTACTTGCAAAAACCGATAGAAAATCAAAATATTTGATCAGTGCAATTCTGGCACAATCTGAAAAAAACACACCAAAAACAATAGGAATACTGTATTTTACTGCGTAGACTTGAATTGATCACCTATAATTATTAATAATGTGTGAAATATTCACGTTACAGGAAAAAAAAACTTTTCATCTACTAGTTCTGCAGTAGATGAGAATTAAAAGAGTTCGCAGAAAAGATCTTGTTTTACTTGATTATATCGTGAAGTTCGCCCGGATTAGTTATGCTTCAATGCACATGACGTAGCACCTGTCAAACTGGTAAAAATTGTGACAAAAATACATCTTCTTTGGTCGGCTCAATAAAATGAATCTTCGGACTGTTCAATAAAATAAATTCTTGGTTTGTAGAAATAAAATATTTTCTTCTTGATTACTTGACCAATTACTGACTTTTTTAGCAAGCAAGGGGGAAAGGGGGGGGGGAGGTGAGGACTGGCGACTGGGCAAGGTCAAAAGTAAATCTATTCAAACAATGTGATCATCAATGCTTGGTCATGTTGAAAGGTTGATTTTTTTTAAAGGGGGTGGTATAATGAATTCTTATGTATGGGAAATATTTTTGATTTTATATATTTGGTGTTATTTATTTGCCGTCTCAATAACATATTCCTGTATAGAAAAAATCTCGATTATATAAAACTGAATAAAAACAAAACACACACACACACAAGAAAGGGGAAAATCAGCAGGTGAGCACAGTATAAATTGTTTTAATTTGTAGTACCAACAGAATTTCTATTGTTGGAAGCATTCACAGCTGTTAGTTAAAGTGATTGTTAAAATCTTTGATTTTTGTGGAGACCATCATTTGCAGTGATGACTTAGATTTTTTTCTCTGAAATAATTACGAATGCCCGCATGGCCGCATAGTACGTCAACCAAACACAGGTAACGTCAATATCGTAGGTGGAAAGTGTATAGGATCCTTATGATTTTTGAGCGATGATTTCTTTTCATCAAATTCTTAAATTAAAAGCCCATGCACGTAATTCAATACAATGACAGGTATAAAATAATAAAATGAAGGAATATTTGATCTGGAAGTAATTTTGAGGAATTAATTGCCGTGTACACTTTCATTAAAAAATGGACCTTAGGAAAAATCAGATATTTTAAGTATTTTTATTTTATTTAAGTTTAATACTGGTTTAAACTGCAAATTCTGAAAAATAATTGCTGACAAAGTTACATCATTGTGTTCACTAGTCATAACAATTAAAAATGACGTCATCGATACAAAGTTCGAAACGTGCTGGTCTCGAGAAGTTTGGGGACGATTTTAGGGTACGGACGAATTTAGGGTACACAACGATAACGTTTGAATTTTAAAAATATAAACAGGTAATTTACAAAGGACAAAGAGGGAAAAATGAGCGTTACGCCGACAACGGGAGATAACTCTTAGGAATGTGAAATTCGTCTATTGGCTCGATACAGGTTCTCTGCTTTTCTTTCAATATTAGGCGCCTATTAAAAAGGCCTATTGAACAAGGGTAGGCCTAATGTTTTGGTTTTTTTTAATTCCTGTTGCACCGGGATCTGGTATATAAAATTAAACTGCAGCAATCAAATAACACACAAAGTGGCAAATCCAAGGGGGGGGGGTGTAGATAGAATGTTATATCGTTAAAATGATAAAATTAATTCTTAGGACCCGGTGAGAGCTTGTCCCGAGACACAGATTATTCTAACTACGGGGGTTGCAACTCTCCCTATGGATTTGCAAAAAAAAAAAGAAGAAGAAAGAATAAGAAGAAAGTCCCAAATTTTTGTTTGTTTGTGTTTTTACCATAGAAAATGTTTAGTTAAAAGCTAATGTTGTAATGTATAATGAAATTTGGTCGTGAATACAAAATGACCCCCTTATAAAATAGGATTCTCAGGTTCTGAGATCAATATTTTCCTTTCTTATATTATTCAAAAACTTTTCAGGTAATCCATACAAATACTTTTTATAGTTTAATCAATCTCCTCCTTTAAAAACTATATTCCACCCGGTATCCTATATTGAGTTATTTAACTACATGCACGTGTAAAATGTACATTATAATACCCCCCCCCTTTGAAAAATCCTTCAACTCCTCAACAAAAAAATACCCCACTATCCTGTCCACAAGTACCTGTGTGCATTCCAAAATATATGCAGATATAAAGAGGCTTACTTACATCTAGATTTGAAGACAGAAAGTCCTAGTCACATCCCTAAAATAAGTTGTACTGTACATATATTTACAAAATATTTATTTAAGTTTCGAAAATATTTATTAAATGTTGTATTCTATACTTACAGGTATAATTTGCTGGTAATAAACAGATCTATGCATGGCACTCCATTATACCACACTGATAGCTTTGTTACAACGCGAAATGTAATAACAACGCGAAATGTAATAAACCTTGATTATTACATTTTGCGTTATTAAATTTTGCGTTGAAATCAACGCAAAATGTAATAACGCAAAATGTAACAATACACATCTGAAGATTATTACATTTCGTGTTATTACATTTTGCGCCGAGATCAACGCAAAATGTAATAACGCAAAATGTAATAACACAATTTTTGGATTATTACATTTTGCGTTATTACATATTGCGTCGAGATTAAGCAAAAGGCAAGAACGCAAAATGTAATAACACTTTTTTTGGTCAGCCAGATTGAGTACAATTTTCAATAGTGTAGTGGTCGATGAAAAGAAAATAAAACAAAAGGAAAAAATAGATATATGCAATTTCTGACAATTAATAGATTTTTAAATATATTGATTTAATTAGCTACATGTATAAAAATCAATTTAATAAATGTATTTAAAGTATAGGTGTTGCAAATTAGAAACATGCATGTGTGGGCAGGGTTGTTAGGGGGTAATTTGACCAGTGTGCTTTTGCTTTTTTTAATGGACAAATGCAATGAGTTAAAAAAAATATTAATTTGTACTGGCAGATGTAAAATAATATAGAGCGGGAAGGGGTTTATTGACAATAATGATACCATACTGTTCCATGCAAATCACCAGCATTGCAGACAAGCAGAAACAACATTCTCTTTTTCCATCCAATGATAAAATGGATTGTCTCTGCGTGTCCACAGTAATACAGTAATAAACATACGAAGTAAACACCCCACTCTATCCCTACCCCCCTTGCTTGAAACACACATACACTTCTAATTTGTTAAACAATGTATGCATGCCGAACATGCATATCAAGAGCTTTTAATGAACCTATGGTCACTCTTTGGTAATTGAATATGTGTTATTGGTTATAAATTTAATCAAAAATCAAACTATCAAAAATATCCCAATCAAAGTTAAATTAATTCTGTATAATTAAGCACAGTGTATCCAATATAACAAGATCAGTCAGTAAAACGATACATTTAGAGTATTTATGTCCGTAAAAGCCCTAGCTTTGATCTCATTGTTTTACTTCTAAATATTTTAATAGTGTGTTTCCCATGTTCGTTACATGTATATATTTGAATCAATTTTTTTTATCTTTATTGTTATACGCAATAAAAAAATAATCTTATTTTTTTTTTATATATATATGTATTACATATTGTTTTATTACATTTTGCGTTGTCTTCAGTGCAAAAATAAAATAACGCAAAATGTAACAACGAAAAAGCACCTTATTACATTTTGTGTTGATCTCGGCACAAAATGTAATAACGCAAAATGTAATAATCTAAAAATCTTGTTATTACATTTTGTGTTATTACATTTTGCGTTGATCTCGACGCGAAATGTAATAACGCAAAATGTAATAATCCGGGTTTATTACATTTCGCGTTGTTATTACATTTCGCGTTGTAACATAGCTTCTCAAAGATTATAAATATGATACATGTAAACAGGTAAAAAAAGAAAACTAAGAGAGAAATATTTTTTGCAGAGCCTGAGGTATACATTGTTTGTTATTACATGTATAACAATTTTGTTATTACATGTACACATGTAGCAAAACCTTAACCATTCAGCTTATTAGCTCACCTGAGCCGAAGGCTCAAGTGAGCTTTTCTGATCAAAATTTATCCGTCGTCTGTCGTCGTCGTT